GAAAATTCTTTTCTGCGCAGTCTACGGTAACCCAATTTTTTTTTCTCGCGAATATGCATATAACTTTTGAAACTCGCATATGTTACGTTCTTCGCTTGCTTTTTTGTCGTCCGCGTTCAAAACTCACGTCTAACGTCGCTCGCGAATGCGACAGCGTCTGGAGTGCTGAAAATCTAGTGAACGGGTCCTATCTGTAAATGATGCAATTGATTGGATATCGCATCGAATATCGCATTGAATAACGATTCTTGTTCCGATCAGTTCAATCTGTGCAACTGCATGGTCGCCAGAGTTTAATCACGATCAGATTAAAAGTTAGAATGTAACACGGCACGTTAACTCGATCGTAACACGCATCGCGATAAAAGCAAGTTAAACGCACGTAGTAACAGCACGTGGTAGTAATCGCAAATAGCGATTTAATTTTGTCGCGTGGTTTATTTGCTTGAACCACGATTAGCCAAGTAGTCGGAGAATGTTTTGCAATTTACAGTCAGCCCGAAATTGAACCTGTGCTCTGGAATTTTCGCGAATTTTCCGATTTTTCGGCGCACGCTGACCGTACGAAGAAATTTTAATTGCATGCATACTAATTAGATGATTATGAGCGTCCGCGATAAATAATACAAAATACGCCGATGCAAAATTTCGATTAACATTTAATCGAGAGTATAATCCGGTCGATGAAGCTAAATGTCAAGGCGAGATCGCCAACAAAATTATGAACCTTATATATATGTGCGAAATTGCAGGCGCGCGCGATAAAAAAACCGCGGTAGAAACATGTTCATTAAATAATTATCTAAATCGGTCCACAAAGTTATTTTGCGTCGCGCGCGAATCCGGTTACGTCCGAGTGCTCGAAGTAAATGTCAAGTAGAGTCTGACACAGTGCATGCAAAGAGTTCGTTGCACTGTAATTCTCGTGAATTGCTTGCTGGGTGACACGCATCGCAGGCACATTAATGGCCAATGTCACGATTGTACAACGCACAGCTACATATAAAAATTGCACAAACTCGACAACATCTTTGACATAGAATTGAAAAGAAAATTAAAATCAGATTTCTATTTGATAATATTTTAACCTCGCATGGAATTCATTGAAAATGATTAACTGATTATTATTATAGTTATTTATGTCAATACGCTGTGCGGAAGGATCTTGATAACATCATATCGAAAATTAAACTAAATATCGAGATAATTTCATCGTGTGTAAATTAATAGCATCATAAACGATAAATTTCACCGTCAAATACCGTTGTAGCCGGCAAACCACACGCAAATCACTCGGTTCTTCTATCTAGAGGATAAATTAGTGTGAATAATTAATTGATATATTATCGATACTTTAATAATATGAATTAAACGTCACTCTTCAATTGTGCGGAAAATTATTGCGGTAGATTTGAAACGGATTTCCCTCGAAGTAGTTCTTTTCCGCTGTCTTGTTCGCAGTCTTAAAAGATATCGAGAATTCTTTGCGTCGCTCCGTCGCTCGACTTAAAAATCGGGTCTCGCGCCTCGAGAAAAGCGAGTTTTATTGTCGAACGTTTCGCTGACCGAGAAGCGGTGGGTCAGGAAAAGGAGCAATACTGGAGGTAGTATCTAGGTCGTCCTAGGTCATATGGAGGACAAGTATCCGACGGAACCGTGCGCGGAGAAGAAAGGAGATGCGAGTGGAGCGTGTTCGATTGTGTCCGACCCTCATCTACCTTAATCCTTCTGAATTCCACCCATCCATTTCTTTGTGTGTTGGTCATTTTTCTCGAGATTTTGTAAGCGGAATGAAAGCTCATGATTTTGTTATTATAAATCTGTTAACTTCGGTTCAGTTCCGTATTGACATTCTAATAACACTTTCATTGTGTAAAAAGGGATTCAAAAATAGTATTCGGACCTTCCGCTCACACTTTATGACTATTTCGTTCACAGATTATTTTCTTATAAAAAATTTTATTCTATCGATACGAACTCTACGAACACGTGCAACATTTAAATCATATATAATTCAAATATAATTATTTTGTATCTAAGGAGGTCGCACAGTATTCTCGCGACTTTTCCGCCCAAGGTCGTTCCGGAATACTTTTTCACCTGACGGCCCCGATTTGACGATGTCGAGAGGTTTCCGTAAAAAACCGCGTCGATAAATTGCACTGGCAAAAACCAGGAAGAAGGAAAAAGTAGCCTCGCGCGACGAGAGACAGCGGCAGGAAAATGTCACGAAAAGTACATTCGTTGTCATCGTCGTTGAAATAAAATAATATTATCGCGCCGCTGGCGTAGCGAACCCATCGTGCTAGACCGGATGATGGGGACGGTAATTTATTGCGCGACATAAATTATGTATAACGCTGAAACGACCCTCTTGGCGCGCAACGCGAGTTTGTAGTAACCTCCGTATAACCGGTGTTCTCTCCTCGCCCTAAGTAGATGAAACTTGGTCTTTAGCGAGCACTAGCTACGTTCGTGATCGTAGGAAATTATCTAACTGCCTCTGAACTTCCGACATAACACGAGAAAGTTTCATTGATCGACTAAACATAAAAAAAAAAAATGCGCTTGGTAATATAATTTCAAATAAACTTCCACTAATATTTATACTCATAAAAATGTACATTTATTATGTCTGCGTGGAAATCAAGGTTGTTGCTTCTCGCGCCTTCATAATTCGAAAAGAACAATGCATTTTACTGACATGTAGATTTCTAATCGCAAATATTTTCACGTGGGGACGTTTGTAATAATGTAAAGTGCTATAAGACGCGATTACCTATTAATCGCGAGGCTATAAACTCGTTCGATACGAAGTAGGAATAAGATTACGTCGACCGCTTTTCACGTCCGGCTTATCGTTATTTTTTCCACGCATCAAATCGCGGCCAATGCCACATTGAAATACATAAGAACAATGTTGAGCGTAATCAGTCTCGCGAAATGCATACCTCGCTTTTGTTTTAACGATCCGTTTATGAGAGCGATAAAAGCCCCGCGATTTCGATTTGCAGCTGCGACAAGTCGCGCGTAAATTGCAATTGTCAACTAATTCCGTGAAAATGGTCTCCGCGTGGTCGCTGACGTGGATGGAACCGTTGAATTTTCACGCAGTCGTATCTCGCATTTCTACGTGTCTGCATAATTTATATTTAACGATCCTCTCCCTTCTCCCGAGTCGACGCAGCGGAATAAAATTCAGTGGACATCGATTGTCAAACGCGATGAATTACGTATACAATTATGTGCACAGAATGCCTATTGAGAATTTCGAAGATTCAGAAAAATTTGAATTCCAAAATTCCCGTGTTTCGTAATTTCGAAACGGAAGTTTATCATATTTTCGCTATTCTCTCACCTCTGGTATTCTCAATATCGATCAGCAGATGCCTTGAAGTTAAACGTTTTAAATGTGACATAAAATAATATAACATTAATAAATATACGAGACGTTTAATGGTAGATTAAACGTGAATAATGTTAGATTAATGTAAATTTTATTAAAATCCAGTCTCATGGAAAATCTTTCGGAAGTAATCCGAGCATTCTCATATAGACGCCACGCATACTTCTGTAATTACAACTATGTAATTATCTGGCCGGAGTGGCGGTGATGCGATAACGCTCGCGCGCATGTCGAATTAATTAACCTAATTCCCGTATTATTTATACGCGAGCGAGAAAGGCTATCGTTATAATTGCGTGCGATTGCGGGAGAGCACGACGTGTCCGGGCGCTGGCTCCCGGTGGCCGGTCACCCATCGACGTAATTAAATGCCGGAAGGCGCACGATGATTCAGGTGTACACTTCAGCCTCCGCCGATTATCGAGTGGTCCGAATACGCGGCCGCGAATATTCCGCTCCGTATCGGTCTCGTTATCGACCGGCCGAACGAATAAAAACATTGCACTCCCGTGGCGCGATCAATAATGCCTTTCGGTTTTCGCACTCGAGTGTCCAAGGACGACGGGTCCAGCGCGGGGGAAACACCCTTTCGCCGGGAGACTGTCTTCGGTGTCGTGTCCCGCGCGATCACGGCAGTCCCGTGACGCAAACAACCGGATAACGCATCGTTGCACCGCACCACCCGTAACCAGCCGCAGCCGAGTCGCTGCCGAGTTCCGTCGCGTGTCCGGCTCTCGGGGCCGACGGGCTGCAAAGTCGCGGCCGAACTGTTTTGTCCACGTGTTGCGGCCAGTCAACGGAGCCACGGTAATGCAGACCTCGATCTTACCACGTGACAGACCGTAGCGAGATCGCGTGGCTTTTCCGGGAATTCTGAGGCCACCCTCGTGTCATCGCTGCCCTCTGATGGAGGGCGCGGCAAGTTATTTCGGGGTGGATTCGCCAGTAGCGATCTTCAACTGTCTTTAAGCAAATTTGAATAATAAAATTGCTATTGGAGGATCTAATAAAGTGTAACTAAAAATTTAGAATTAATTAAAGCTTGTTTGCTGGTTCTTAAAAGTTTAGTATTTGACTTCAATTGAATTTATTGCATTTTTTAACTTAAACTTTGTAAATTTTAACTCCAATCGCATCTATACGAGTTGAAGATGTATATGAAAAAAAGATGTACAAATGTCTGACCACCAGCTGTATGTAAACGCTCGTCGAGGTTTGTCGGCAGTGACTGCACTCGGTAACGTGGGAGGTCTGTCCTCTGATCGTTACCAACCGCAGGAGGTCTGCTTCTATCGATCACGCGGTAAGGGTGAATATCTTCAGAGAGGAAACCGTAGGTGGCGAGTGGTTAAAGCTTGTGCGCGCATGCGTCAGTTGTTGGCCTTCGCATTTTCGATTTACTATTTCACCCCATTTACATCGAATTCAAATTTTCGAATTGAACGATAAATTTAAGTACTCACAGCAATTAGACTTCCTCTTTTTTTGTTACATTTTAAGGCTATTCACATTGAACAAAAGCTCAGATTTTTATTCAATTCTCGCAGTCTCTTCGATCAATATTTTATTATTTCTTTTATCTTTGTATTCTTACCTTGTTGAGCGTCTCGTGACTGATGTTCTGAATGCCGTCAGAATGAAGGATGCGGTCGACTGAATTCGGTCTGGGAACTCCATCCAGCTGAGCTGCCTCTTTAAGCTGGGGTGGCGACGGCGGCGGTGGCAATTGTTCCTCCACTCCTGCGCTATCATATCTCGTTTTCTGTAACAAAGAGAAAAACAATTTCATTCCATTATCATCCTACATGCCACATCATAAACAAGCTCTGGTTTTCAGATGTGTAGATATTAATATTCTAATAACCAGCTTTAGAGCAAGATTACTGCTAGTTGCAATAATGAATCTTTCTGACGTCAGTTGAGTTCTAGTATAAAATATCTTTTATCATCGTTGCAATCTTATCCTAGTTCGCGGTACTTGTTGGAACTTACGCGACACCAGCAGTATCCGCAAACATTTCTGCCGCTGTCGGCGTTACGCGAAATTGCATTAGCGCCACGATCATTAAGCGAATCCAGTTTCGAATCGGCATGACGCTTCGCTCTTCGACGTTTTCGTATTTTGGCCGGCACGGCGAACATATAATCACTAAATCGACGCCTTGAATGACGTACGATCGACACCCAGTCTATCATCGTGCAAAAACAGTCCGCGCGTGATATTTCGAGAATATATATTTTTCAGTGTATGCTGTCCATCAAAACTCACTCGATTTGCCGTTGCGCAAATTTCAAGTAAAATAGAAGCGCTACGTAATGCCAAAAACAGGAGAAAAAAATAAATAAAGAGATAAATATTTAATGAGCTGCTACCCGTATTTCATTAATTGTAAAAACGATTACAAAATTTTTTTAATGCATTTTGTATCATATGTAACGCAAAGTCAAATATTTAAAAATATTTAAAAATATTTCAAATGTAATTTTCCCACATGTTTTATATAATATACTTATGTATTAATTATAAATCTCAAAAATTATATTTTAATCCTTTAATCCATTAATCAGCTACTAATACATTACAATCAATTTAGTTCTCTCTCTCTCTCTCTCTCTCTCTCTCTCTCTCTCTCTCTCTCTCTATCTCTCTCTCTCTCTCTCTCCTTCTTATTCAAAAATTCTTGATTCAAACCTAATTTAATTATTACTTTCAATCGTTCCAGCGCGAGGCGAGCTTTTCAATTAACGTTCGAACTTTTATGCTGGTTTCGAGTTTCGAGGTAAATTTTCGCGATTCGTTTAAGCCACTGCTAGCCTCGCCGTTTTTGTTGGAGCTACTGGAACGAGAGCTTTCAATCGAGTATCGCGGGCGTGCCCATCGTCGGAGAGATCGATACCAATGGCGAAGAGAACGTCGGGATATATGTCACGAATCAAATCCCCCTTTTCTCTCGCTTCTCGTGTTCTGAAAGCGTGTCATAAGTATCGGACTGTCTCTATATTTCTCTCTTATTCCACCCGCACACTTTATTCTACCGACACAATCGCGTCAGCCATTATTGTGCATTCTGCAAACGCGAATAAAGGCGATGACGTTGCAATCGAACGTGCATTAATGCCGAGATTCATCGTGAAAATAATATTCAAAGTGCTATCCGGAAGCGTGTTAATTGCGTTAATCGGTTCATTAGCAGACTTTTAACAAAAGCTCCGAATTATTATATAGAAATTTCGTTTTAATAATCATAAGCAATCCTTTGAATTTATTATATGAAATGGAGCGTGCTCTTTTAAATGTAAAACAGAAATTTCAAAAGTAAAAAGAAACAATTTTTTGCATATTTATTATTTAAAGACTTATTATCTTCCGTTCTTTTTGGCCACTATATCAAAATATTTCAAGTTGAATGTAATCATTTTATGTTATAGTTGCATTCGATTTTAAACATTTTACCGATATGTGCATTCGTATTTCACTGACAGAAGCGAGGGCAAAAATAGATAATGTTTGGGTAGACCGCATGCTCGCGCGGGCGTAATTTGTAGCATAGACGAAGTAAAATTTCAGAGTGATTGAAGCGCTTACGGGCTTCCAAGAATACCAAACACTACCATATATTGTTTATGGAGAAACCACGCGTGCAAGAGGGAAATAGTTCAGACTTGGAGCTCCGGCGGGCAATCTCCATCAACATTCTATTCCGTGTAAAATGCATCTCCTTGATTTGTTACATCGCCGTACCTTTATTTATCGCGTGCCGCTTTTCAATATTGCGGTTCTTTCGAAAAATTGTGTTTGCTGTACACGGCGCGTGATCTTGACGTCGAAAAAAAGAATGGATAAAATTTTTAGAACAACAGACATCGTTGAGTTTACTTCACCAAAAATCACAAATTTAATTTTTGTTCTTTTCATAACGATATTACGAGAGGAGTTTTCTTCGCTTCGTTCGTTTCGTCCCACGTTTCTCACTGAATCTCCCTAAGATAACTCTTCCAAGAAAAACATGATTGCTTTCATAAGCAGAGTCGGTTATTCACGATCATGCCAATTAATAGATTCTCTTTTTCTTCAATCCGAGTGCCGGAAGCTCCAATGAACTCTTTCGAGCGGAAATTTTCCTCGTGCTGCGCTCCGGCAAAAATTAATGTAAATATAAGCGGAAAAACTTTCAAGTCACCACAAGTCAAGTACACATCGTTTTAACTTTGCAAATTATTAAAATGCCTTAAGCTTTATCAACATAAAAGCGATTCTTAATTTCACAAACTTTGAAATAGACACAATCACTATTTATATTCGAAACGTTACGTTGATTTGTTGGATACATCTCGCTCGCTTCACGTACGCGTTCTTTAATGTTCTCGAAATAAAATCCACACTGCGTCGCAAGCATTTTTTTCGAAAAGTTGGAATCTAACATAAACGATCGAATAATTCAAATTAACGAAGAGTAACTGAACGATTGCACTTGAGTACGACCGAGCTTCGATTTTATTTAGAAGCAATACTTCGGCGTGGCAGACGTCGACGTCGGTACTGCTTTGAAAGCGACTCGACACTGGCATCAATAGTGTGTTGATGCTCCGGCAAAGGCATCGTCTAATTCCGACGCTAAAGCGCGTCTCCGCGATTGGCGGTCTGAAGGACTTGTCGAGTTTTTTTTTTTTACCGTAATCTAAAATTAAGAACTCGAGTGATTAATTGCCGGCATGAGCTATTTATAAATTCCATGAATCGCGTCATTTACTTCGCGGTTCTCTACTATCATTAATTTTACGTTTGAGTGTCGTGCGACTATGACGGCTACGTTACGGTAAATGTAACTCACACAATAGTAGACGCTGCAGAGAGTGTCTGAGATCGATGCGCGGAGAAATTGTGTCCGAGCGTAAATTTACGTACCAGCCTGATTAAACTCTCGCTTAATTAAACTTCACGCTGCGAGGGCGGCAGGATCGCCGACCAATTTCTTGAAATCGTATTTTGGGTGGACGATAATTTTAGAATTTGCATTCTACTGTGTGTTTTTCGCGGCATGCTTTCCAATGGCGATTTTCGTCTCCAGAATAACAACTTGTTTGTGCTTGCAATCATCAATTTATTACATTTTGCAAATTAATAGGCTCGCATGTTTAATAAATGCGTATAAACAAATACTTAATACTTCTGACCTAATTCGGTGCGAAATGTATCGTTGCGCACAATAAAACGAAGTAATTAGAATATCACGAAAAATAGCAATTGCCGAGCATTTCGGGGAGACTGATTAAAAGAGATAATCAATAATAAAGTTCAGTTAATGGTACATTCTTCCTTGTAGACTACAAATAACATCGGCGCTTCGATCAATCGATATACTATTCTCAAAAGTTAATCAAGTTACCTAAATCAAACGGAATGCATAATATAATCACCCGGGGATCCGCCGTGATTCAAGTAATCGTCGTGTTCCGTTCGTAAACACGCGGATCGCAAAACGGCATCAATAACGATAGCGTGCCGATTTTTTATGTAGTTTACGAATTGGATCATCGCGGCTATCGGCGCGTGGCTGATTACAATGGATAATGACGATGCTTCCGACCAAGTCGGTTTACCAAATTAACGCCCAGTTTTGCTACGCAAATTTACATATCATGAATTTTCCAGCGTCACGCAGAAATAAGTTGCCGAGTATTTACAAGTGATCGCGTTTGCTCGATTCACCGTTCAACTTGTCACTTGACGTACAGATTGAATCTCCATTGAGATCGCTCGCAGTTACTCGCGAACACAACGATACACGAAATATCCTCATGCGGGTTAATTAACCGTCACGCACAGCCGTCTATCGCGCAAGTCTTTAAGCGAACCTTCGTGACCTTTTCATTCCGCGAATCGGATGTCCATTACGAGCACAATGCTGGGGCACAATGCGGCGTCCCGCAGCTTCGGGAAACCTCGCGGCTCGATGGGAAGAACGTGAAGAGATAATCAAGAACCGCACGAATTGTGTTCTGAAACGAAGCGAAGAATTGCGCAAGGCGAGGCCTTGCGAGGCCGTAACGACGGCGAAAGGCCGAAGAGCAGGACGGTAGAAAATTATAGTCTGCCGCTGACATAAGGCGAATTAATTTCTATATTTATAGTTGACCGAGATAAATCCCTTACCGCTTTTCGATAAGAAGCTCAGGAGACAAATGCTCTTTTCATGTTAAACTTTAAGTGTCGCGCTAAGCTGGTTGAAAGCAGTGAAAAAGCAGCACTCGAGTGCTTCGCGATTCGCGATATTAATGTAATTGCCAACACGTCAAAAGGAACAAAGAGGCCGCCATAGTTATAGAAAGACGGTGAGTGTGAATAGCATCATTAAGCCTTAATTAACTGGCGAACTTGAGCAAAATCTGCTTGTCAGCATAGTTCGAAGAATCCTATTTATTTAAGCGTGATTGTTGATAAATCGTAAACTATAACGCGTCAGGTAGTCGATTTTTTGTCAAAATAAAGAATTGTAAACTTACAATTTTTCTCAATGGAATATATCGATACAAATTGATGTATACTACATTTAAGCAAAAGAAAAGAAGTCAATAAACGAATTCATACAAGTTTGATAATTGTTGATAGCATCGATGAAAGCACATTCATCGAGTATTCATCGAGATTTACATGCATACGTACTGCGCATATTCATTTTGATTTTTGTGGAGAGACGATAGATATGCGTTAAATCGGCGCTTTTTTTCATTTTCAATGTTGAAAATCGTTCATCCGAATGCTACTCGAACAGACAAATATGATAGGAACACAGCGAATGGATTTAGGTAATAAAAATTCGGTAACTGCCACTTTTTTAATAATACATCACGTACACCGTAACCTTGTGTATGTAAAAGTGCACAGATCGCAAAAATAAAATTTAATAAAATTATTACTTTACATCGCAGTCGCGATGTTTCAAAATTCAACAGATAATTTTTAAAAAATATTTGTTATAGTGTCACATTACATTTCTCTAGGGTGGAGAGAATACATTTACAACAAGTACATCCGAGTGTCTCTTTCGCACGATTAGGCTTGATGGCAGATGCTTTAGAACAGCTATTAGACCTTAAGACCCTTATGAGAGAGTTTAAAACCCGTGTTATACACTAAGACTAAGCATGTTCACCGGAGATCCGCCTCAGAGTTGGTGCTTACACCAGAGAAAATCAGATACGAGATCGTATAAAGTGATTCTGCCGTCTCTCTTTACTAGACTATTTGCCATCTATATAAAGCATGGCTTGGGTGAGTCTAAAATTAACCATCGATGCAGATCGAGTGCAGATGATTAAGCAAAGAAAAAAGATAAAAAAATAAAATACCACCAAAATCGCAAAATATCAAAATAATTATTACATTTCTTATTTTTCTTTTACTAAATTTAATTTGATAATCGTTAATATTTTGTTATAAGAATGTGAAATTTCTTGTTAAAATGATTCTTTTCTTGGAAATCGCGTTATCGACGAACTCTCAAAAATAGCTTGTAATGCTGTGGGCAAATTCTGGACTGTGACTTCGCGAATCTTGCGAATAAGTTGGTAAACCAGAGCTCTTCCTGACATTCGACTACAGAGAATGGGTTTACCATCGCTAGCCTGAGCTGTACACCAAGTACGAACGACAATCAATTAATTCATTTCTTATTTTACATGTATTGATCAATAAATTCAGATAAATTTTACGAAACACTGCAATTTTGGCACAATTATCGATTACTGATTAATTCAAATAGCTGTCAGATAATGCTTCAAAAAAGAAGAAATTCCTTGTTCCAAATGTGCACTTAATATTTCATTAGATTAATCCTCAACGTATTGTTTCATTAGTTGTGTCATGATGATTGTTACGTTTCTAACGAATTTAGTGGAACAGGTTTTAGTTTGCGACACCAGTATTTCTCGCGGAAGCAAACATTTTAAAAATTCACACTTAGTTTCAGAATTTGCACGTCTACGAACCTGAGTCTCGTCTACATCGGGGCCTGGTACATCGGGACTGGCCGATCTGCGGCCGTAAATGTTCGACAGAGTCTGGGTCAACGGCAAGGCGGAGGCTGGACCACCCTGAAACGATCACATCATCTGAAAAATATACCATTGTGTTCCGTGTCAACGGAAGAAAGCGTGCATTGCCGAATTGTTTCCGCATGGCTTCTCGAACCTTTACGTCGGTCGAATTTCAATTCAATTTAAAAATGTATCGTTTTTAGTATCCACAAATTACAATTGCGAATTCGGAGTTAAAAATATTGCCTGATAGCTATGATATCAAATATCAACACAACATTGAATTAAAAATAACAATAAAAATACAAAATGATATTGATATTTCTCATATAAATACTGAATTACCAAACTGAGTAATAAACAAAATGAGATCATAAATAATAGATTTTCCTCTTCTTTTTTTTAATCATTTTTAAACATTTTAATTAAACAGTTCAAAATCATCCTCTTAGCACCCGTGTCTATTTTACATTTTATTAACGATTATAGACTCCTAAGCTATCTAGAATATCCGTGCTATGATAGCAGCTTTGATGTAGACGTAGCATCTCAAACAGCAAACACTTGATATGTGGGGCATCAGGTTTCCTAACGCCGACCCGGGACGGATCGATCGCAACGGAACAGTACGTGTTCCGGCCGTCGTAGATTAAGTAGTGCAGGTGGGAGGAGGGAATAAAATCGTGAGATGCAAGGTCAATTACGTGGCTGGGTTGGACTGACTGACGTCGTCGTCTCGCGCGGTGGCAGCGTACTAAACGAGCAAAACGGAATTATTCATGGTGAACTTTCGATGCGCGCAGGTGCGTTTAACATCGAGCGCCGCTTTATCTCCGCCGACAACGGGGGCTCGCCTCTATTAAATATGCATCGCGACTATCGTCCCCGGAATTCGTTTGTTCTTTCGGAACGTCCTCCAACACGTACCGACGAAAACTCCCACCACCGCCGCGAGCCGCAGTTGCTACGGCGCGCATTTTTTATTTACAGCGGCTGGCGGGATAACAAATGCCGCGCTCCACTTTAAAATGTAGCACGTGAGGTACTTACAATTATTACACCGACGACGAGGAGAGAACAACGGCGCAAGGAAGCAGTCTAACGTTTAAAAAAACATCCGCATCCGAGAATTTTTAATTGCGCTTGTCGTAATAGTTGAGCAATAATTAAGTGGATTACTAATTAGCTAATTACATCGAAGCCCTACACGAAAGAAAGTAATTACGAAGTAAAGGCGGACGTTGTCTGAAACTTGGAGCAATGAAGTTCGATGTTATGCGTAGAAAACGAGATTGAAAGTCCGGTGCTTTACGTGTAAGTTCATCGGGCTAGCGATTACTCGCTCTCGAAATCGAGAAGTCATTTTGACAAAAAGTGAATGTCGCGACACGAGCGGCACTTCTGGCATTAATAAACGTTCCTGTCCGAGTATCGCGCGCACATAAATAAAACTGCCGGACGTCACGTGAAAATAGCGCATCACATTCCCGCAGCTTTCAAAGATAGGGCGTATCGGATAAAATTGAAAAGTAAAGTAGCGCGCATTAATATTTTATGTCCTCTCAGGTGCATTCTCGTACATCACGGCGTATACATCTCCCGATGCGAGTAGTTTTACTTTGCCGAGCGAGAATATACTATTTCGCTATCGCGCGTCCGTACGATTCCGGCAATCTAAGTACTCTCCTCGGGTGCATCAAACGCCGCATATATCTGTCATATATTTTTCAATATTTAAGAAACGTCATGCTTCCATGTATAATGATTCAAAACTCACAAAACATTATAGTGCAATATTTTTGCATTCTAGTCTCGCTCTAACATTTACATAATATTTTCCTTTCGCGCAACGCTAGTAAATTTCTAATTAAAGCCATTACGGTTTCTCATCCCACAAAAAACTGGTACATTGTACAAACCACGTGGTTTTTTTTTTTTTTTAATTTTTTTAAAATTTTTTTAAGAAATACCAAACGTCCAGCGTGAAATTAGTTTTCCGAGCTGTAATATCTTTCGCGCAATTTTCGTTGTAATAAAAATTTTTTCTTTATTTGGATCCGCGCGATTATCCACGAATCCCCTCGTAATCGGATTAATTTGTTTTGTTGTCGAGTAATGAGAAATAGGTTGCCGGGCCCGTATGCCCCGACGGAGATTTCGCAGAGTTTTCGAAAGCGCACGCTTTCTCGCTTTCGCAAATTTGAAACCGCCCCGCGGAAGGAACTCATCGCGATTAATCCGCGAACGCGCTGAATGTTCGCAGTTGTTCATAACTCTGCGAATGAGTTCTAATGCACGTAAACGATAATGGTTCGCGCGAGCGAGCGCGCACTGCGAGTGCGTTCGCGATTACCCGCGGGCTATTGCGTCCCGATTTTATGACGTCGCAATATGCACCGCTCCGATAATAGAGAATAATCCTGCGGCGAAGCGTTCCACGGCTGAACGACTGAGGCCGACTGAATGGTATCGCACTTCGACCGATTTGATGAAAATCTATACTGATACCGTCGATCATTATCGCTGGTCGCGTTCTGGAACTACCAGCATTGCCGTTAAAAGCCAACCGCGCTCGGCCGAATACGATACACGCAGCCGGATATTTTGGATATGATACGATAGTCCGTAGCCGGATATTTTGAAGGGCCGTGTCGGTATTTATATCGATGTACTAAATCCTGGGACCCGCGCGAGCAATCTCTCTCTCTCTTCCGCGCGTCTCCATGCGTCAATATCTAATGCGTCATTTTAAAGCCGGAAAAAAATACGGCGAATCAAACACTGCGCGATTTTTCCAAACAATCGCTGATCGCGCCGGTAGCTGCGGATGTTCCTTTCGAATTTATTTACATTTATCGTGTATTTGTTTTTTTCGTGTTTATTTATGACACGCGACAGCATAAATGTTTACTTGATCGCAACTATTTTCGTTACACGCGCGCGCGATATCGTATCCGATACGAGATTTCATAAGGCGGCGTTTGACTTGCTGATAGACTACGCCGCTACAGCACAAACGTATGTCACGTCTGATCATGACGCGGCCATAACCACTGGCAGTCTCGACATGTCAAGCTATAGCCAGACGACAACCGCGTGACAACGGTTGATGCGAGCCGACGGAGTGCGTTTACAACGTACCGCGCGTATTATTCCTGCACACAAGCGTCAATATGATACGCAATTAAAATGCTGCGTGTGTAATATTGACCGGCGAGTATCCTGTCAGAGGAATTTGTGAGGTGCGTGAACACTAGATTTCAGAAAATTTAAAGCGGCTTACTAATTAATTACTGAGTCAAATTAACAAACTTAACAATAGTTTGCGCATATTTCGCGAACGTTGTTCGCATATCAATTAAAATTCTAACATTAGTTTCATCGGTAGAACAGCAGTTATAATCAGCCGTCGTGAGATAATGATCGTTATAAATAAATTGATTGTTACGAAATCTTGCATTGTTACGCGCGTTGCATTATTGTTCGACGATGGTTTGTCTATGCATTTATTAATTCTGCTTTCGCTTTATTAACACAAAATAAGTCAACAAACTTTCACTAGAATAATAATTACATAACGTACAATTTTATTTGTGCGTCATAAATTGTTAAGATTTCTTTCACAATTGATAAAATTATCTATTCTTCAACATTTTAATAAATGTTTTTTTCATCCATTTTTATTGAACCAATTTTTTTATTAATTGGACCACTATATGTATGAATTATATTTATTATTACATTCAGTTATAAAAAGTTCAGATTGATTTAATTTAAATCTGTTACATGTAGTGTTTCATGTTTAAATCAAATATATGCAATCATGAAAATATCTGAAAATGTTAAAGATATAAAAATTTTAAATTTGCGTATTTTAGTTATTTTTGCTAATATTTAATTAATTACTTTAATATTTGAAATGCAAACAATGTAAAGTAAATAAGAAAATTGCATTGCTCGAGAGTAATATTGTTAAATAAGTAGCTAGCGAAATTTTAATTGAAACAATTAAATTTGCGAGCGTAACGCAATAAAATAGTCTTCGCGTGGAGTTGGCGGAAAAGTAAAATCCATTATTGCGCACGGCACGAGCAACCGTAACCGCTTGCACTTTGTCGTCGAATACGCCCGCCTCGGTTTGACCACAAAGCGACGGTATCCACTCGCCTTGCCAATGCCAAACATGCCGAAGACGCCCGCAGAATCTGCGCGACTCGGCGACGAGAACGCGACACTTGGACGCATTTCCAATAATCTGCTGTCGGTGATTGCACGTTGCCGACGTATGTGGAGAACACGGGCTCGAAACTTCGCGCGACTCCTTTGCAACGCGCACCAAGTTTTCGCACGAATACCGCACGGATCTCTCGCACGTATAGTCCCCTAATCACACGCGAAGAGAACGTGATAAGAGAGTTCGCATTAGATCGGACGTGTATGCAATTTATAGGCATATGCGGGTAATAATGAAGGCTGGGTGGAATTTGTAAGTCGGTAATATCAAAGGCTCGAGAACCTACGGGCAAGTAACTTGTTAGTAGCGCGAATCTCCGTTCGTGGCTCTATGTATTCGGCGATCGAATCGCTATACAGCGCAAAATCGAGTGCAAAAAAATTTCGCGAAGCTATGAATCTTAAGGCCCATTCTCCCGTTCTTTTTCCTACTCCGAATGTCACGGTTGCTTTCGCGCAGGAAAGAAAAACAGATACTTCCGGTTCGCACATTGCGGATTCGAGGCACGTATCCCATTCCTCCGAGGCAACGAGAGCATATATATCGCGTTCGATAACTCGAAAACTTCGCCCAACGACTTTTGCAGTCACGCAGAAGGTACTGCGAGCGAACATCGTTCCGACCTAGCTTCGATCCTCCCTCCTTCGCACCCCTCTAGATATCAATAACGCGGATTTTGTTCCCGGTAACCAACATTTATCGCCCCCAACGCCACCGCTGTCGCGTGGATTATCGCTGTTTACTTTTCAATTTTTATGAGGGAATACGAGCAGACACAACTTCAAGGAAAGAGAATTATATAATCGACATTTCTCTCTATTTC